ACTTCATCTACACTGACGAGTTGCCTCCCTTGCAAGACATAGCCCTTGCTGCGGGGGACGACATGATGACTACCGCTGGGGACATGCTGGCTGTGGCGTGCCGGTTCAAGTTGGACAGGATGAAGGACAAATGTGAGACCTTGTTTGGTCAGTCCGTCTCGAAACAGAACGCGTCGAGCATGCTCAAACTGGCGCGCCATCATCATTGCATGAAGCTCAAGGATTACTGCTCCAAGTTTGAATGATCTCCACGCGGGATAGCTAATTGAGACACGAGGGAGATGGCAACAATCCGGAGTATGTACTAGCTAATTTAAGTTATGTAACTGGTCAACTGTTTTTGGTTACTAAATGGAATTTTTTTTCCCATATCAGTTAGTGTTTGAATTAGAGCATCTCCAACAGCCGACCGCGCGGCGCGCTAAAAAGTGCTTTGCAGCGTGCCCATCGTCTGGAAAAGCGCGGCGGGCAACGCTGGCACCAGTAGCCGCGCTAAAATTTAGCGCGCGCATAGGTCCAGCAGCCGCGCTAAAATGCAGCGCGCGCTATCGCACGAACATTGCGTATGTATTTTAAATAAAAACGATACATATTAAAAATTCATAGATAAAACGATACATAGATATTTTACATAATTCCATAGCATAGATAGATAAAACTACGGCGCAACGACATAAAAAAACGACTAGATAGTGCAACTACAACCTACTCCCAGTCGTCGTCCTCCTCCTCATCATCATCATCATCCTCGCTCGTCTGGTCCGAGGTATCGAGCCACATGTCGTCCCAACGAGGATCATTATCCGTAAAGATCGACGACTCACCTGCTTCAACGATATCGCCAGGGCCTTCCGCCGACGCCTGTCCAACCGATCCGTGCGGCGCTTTGCCGTCTGCTTCACCCAGTAGGCTTGCTCGTCGGCGACGTCCTCCGGGTGGCGCCAGCGCTACTCCGCCATGGCCCGCTCGTCCTCCTCGGCGATGAGGAGGCGGCGCTGCCGCCGAGCGTGCTCCGCACGGTCCTGGTCCGTGATAAGACGAGGCGGAGGGGCGACGTCCTGCGCCTGCTGGCGCGTGTGGATGTCCTGGAAGTTTATTTGCCCGCGCGGCCTGTCTAGGCGCCACGCCGCCGCATCGTACGCGCGGGCGGCCTCGTGCGCAGTCTGGAAGGTGCCGAGGCCGAGCCGGACGTCGCCGGACCGGATCTCGGCGTAGTACGAGCCGTTGGGGCGCTGGCGGACGCCACGGTAGCCCGACGCTCCTCGGCGGCGCGGCGGCATGGTGGCGCGTCGGTGGCGGGGCGCTGGAGCGGCGAGGAAGTAAAGGGAGATACGAGAAAGCGGGAGAGAGCGTGCGTGGCAGTGTGGATAGCCGCATGACGAGCGCCGCAATTTATAGGCACGCCGGACGCGGCGCGCCAAATGTAGCGCGCAACCTGCCGCCTTTTCCCCCATGCGCGCAAGTTTCCTGCCGCCGCTGGAGCGCGCGAAAACGTCCCGTGCGCGCGTCTTTTGGCACGGCTGTTGGAGATGCTCTTATTGGTGTTAATTATTTCAGTTCAACAATGAAAATAGCACACGACACCTTGTCAGCTAGAGCACTCCACAAAATTTATGAAGCAAGCACGATGCTCACTCATGCATGCCATACCACATCACACTCCATGCATATGTAACGCGGGACTAGCATGACTTCCAGCCCATCTCGCTGCTCTCCTTCTCTCCGATGAAAAATGGCGTGCGTCCATGTAGCAAGCACGCTGTTCACTCGTGGAAGCTTGGGTGGCTTGGGGCCGTGGGATGTGTGGGAATAGAAATCCAATCGCCAGCTGGGCGTGGATCTTGTTTGAATCCGGGGCTCCGGGCACAGCGGCTTCCCTATGCCATACATCCCGATGATCCCTAGCTAGCCGCTCTTTACTTCGCTTGCAACCCTTCGAGTGTATTCTTGTCTGAGCGCGTCGCTCGATCTCTCCGGTTAGCTATACAGTAGGGCGTACAAGTTTGCGTGATATATACAGATTTTTTTTGCTGGTTTATGGTTTTTGCAGACACAGAGAGAGAGAGAGAGAGAGCAGCGCGAGGAGAAAAGGGGACCGAGTCCGGATGTTTATTTTATGTTTTAATTTTTTAAGACATGATTTTATTATATATATTAACATTTTTTATATGCTTGAACTTTTTAAAATTCCCAATTACTTTGCATACGCACTAGCATCCTTTGGACCGACAAAATACTTTGGATTGTGTCACATACAAGTCCTAGTTTGTATTCCCATTTCATGGAAATTCTTCTGTCATCCATGTTTCATATCACATGATTGAAATATGTATTAATTGCTAGTTTAACCCAAACCAATGTTAAGCATCGCTACGGTGAGACAACCTCATCGTAGTCAACTCCTTCAGCTTGTTATTGCAACAAGTCAAGCTTTATGGATAAAACATTCTATCCACATCAGTTTATAGTTCCACTAATGTTCGTTAGACTCTAAGTCTTCTGAAGGGTTTATCAAGATATAATCTTGAATCATTTATGGAAACTATATCGGATTATATTGGCCTTTAGCTAATTCCGGAGTCAGGGCCCATGATCGGTTCCATGATTATGGCAGGTATACTGTTATCTAACAACAATATCGTAGGTATACTGTTGTCTAACAAAAAAAGGTATGTTACTAGTACTATGTACATTCGGACTCGCCGAGTGTTCCACCATACCATTATTCCGCTCTGAATCAAGATTCACAACATAGGGATGACACAAGCAATCGCTTAGAGAGACCCATCTTTCTCTGGTGCTTGACCCTGAGGTCTTCGAGATCGATTGGCTGGCAGACAACGGGACAGTTGACGGCGTAGTATCTGACATTGGCTTCGCGCCGGCAACACAATTGTGCCTCATCTTGTCGATTACATGAACTTGTTTGTTTGTTCTCATTCTAGAAGAGGTCAACTTGATAATTGAAAGACAGTGTGTCTGACGATTTCTCTAGAAACAAAAAAAGTTAACTTGATGATGAGTGAAATGTGTTATGTTTCCCTTCCAACGAATATGTGTTGTGTATGTTACTATCAGATAAGTGCATTTCAAAATATGCTGCCGAACAACTATTTATTCCTGCATTGCCATGAGATTTCGAATTGCGTTCCCTATATGTGTCGTCTCTGTGACCACCTTGCTCATGTGGTGTTCATCTAACGAGGACCGGAACATATGCACAAAATAACAATGTTATGGAGAGACGAATTTTGAAATCGATGTCATCAAAAGATGAACAATTTATTCAGTGACATATCTATGGAACTCCGAACGGTTAGGTGGAACTATAATGCATTGGGTTGGGACTTGGGATCACACGTCGATAACTCGGTTTCAATAGTAGTAATAGTACTATGGAATAACTTGCGGTGATGTATAATTTTGGTGGTGGTGTTGCCGTGGTAGCCAAATAGAAATATGGTTGGCCTTTCAAGTTATTTGCTACATGTGGTTGATTATTTAGAGATTATTTGGTTAGTAACTACAGGGTTAGTTGGTTGATGGCTATAGCCAAGCCTTGTTTACGCATGAGCACACATGAAGATTCACCGTGCCTTTTTTACCTAGTAGCTTTTGGATTGGATCATTATCAAAGCTTTTATGCCCTTGAGGTTTGTTGCTCTACATTGTTGTTTGCTATTTTCCTTTCTCTCTTGCTATTAGTTTGGTACTCCCTCCGTCCGGAAATACTTGTCTTAGAAATGGTTGAAAATGGATGTATCTATAAGTAAAATAAGTCTAGATACAATCATTTCTAAGACAAGTATTTCCGGACGGAGGGAGTACTGTAGTTTTCATTCACATTTTCCGCAAACTTAAGATTATCAAGTACTTAAGTGAGCCTATCAATTTCTCGAGATCCCGAAGAGTTAAGAAAGCATAGAGGTCGGTTGTGTTCTTGTTTATTCAATTAAAAAACTAATTGGATGACTTTGATAATTGGCCCTAGAAATAGAAGTATGTATATTCACCCAGTTTCCTGATTTAGCATCTAACCTGAAAAATGATGCCCACTGGACTGCCTTTTCACCTCTTCCTGCCAAGACCAGAAGAATAATCCACAACATCTTTGGAACCCAAGGTTGGCTAGCATGACCATGCGAGCTCCCTGTCAACGGTGATTTATTTGTTTAATATATTATTAAGATAACAGCCCAGGATTAAACAGTTAATTAGGTAGTTTCCCTTTTGTTCATATACAACAGAAGCCCCATCTTCCTCTTCACCAGGATTGAGCCAAATGTGCAGGACATGACATCCTGCCATCACAAGGGTTGGATCTACTTAATTGTTTCTTTACACCAAGCAATTAGAAAATTTATTTCACCCAAATAAATTCTCGCGTATTGGGGTGGATGGCCCATGCTGCTTTTCAAAACCTGTGAGCTAGTATAGTCTAGCTTGCAGAAGATTGGTCATGTGCAGCTTCTTCACTGCTTCCTTGGATAAAAATTGAGTTGCAAAAGATGATGCTGTAGACATTGATTTCGATGTGATATTATGAAACTTTCAGTTTTGTCAGCAATTTCCATTTTTCATGGGTGTTTTAATTTCTTCGCTATAATATTAGTTTTTAGTTAATGAATAAAGTCAGATCATTTACAATAAACAACTAAAAAGAGGGGATAGGGGTGGTGGTAGTGGGGGTTGGAACCGGGGGGAGGAGCATGTGCGAAGAAAGTCATCAGTTGGTGGGTGGTGCGTACTATTATACTCATTTAGTTCAGAGAATCAGTGTGCACTTGCAGCGGTCAATTATTTTTCATGAGAGGAGCATATATATACAATTGCGACTTGGTTGAGCACATTGACTACAGTCATCTCTGCGAGACCAGAGACTGTAGCTTGGTCGAGAGGCCTATGAGGATTTATCATCACACTTGGAAGAACACACGCTTACACCAGCTCCATCTGAAACTCCACCCAGGTTCTTAGACGAGAACACAGATCGATCCACTATGGCAGAGGGCGTTGTAGCGTTGCTGATTGCCAAGCTTGGTTTTGCCTTAGCAAAAGAGGCAGCAACCTTCGGTGCATCCCTGCTATGCAATGAGGCATCTGCCCTCAGGGACCTCTTCGGCGAGATCCGCGAGGCCAAGGAGGAGCTGGAGAGCATGCATGCCTATCTCCAAGGGGCGGAGCGGTTCAAGGACACCGATGAGACTACCCGTATTTTTGTCAACAAGATCAGGGGCTTCGCCTTCGAGATTGAGGATGTGGTCGACGAGTTCACCTACAAGCTGGAAGACAAGCATGGTGGATTCACTAAGAGGATGAAGAAGAGGGTCAATCACATCAAGGCATGGCGTCGTTTGACACAAAAGCTTCAGGATATCAAGGGCAGGCTTCAGGGTGCAGACAGGAGAAAGGTACGCTACGACATGAGAGAGATGGATAGAGAGGGGAGGAACAATGGCCACTCTGGATCTGCTGACCGTTCTCTGAATCTTGTGAGGGAAGAGGATCTTGTGGGCATTGAGAAGAACAAGGACAAGCTGGTGCACTGGCTCGTGGGTGATTTCGAGGAGCCACGAAGCAAAATTGCAACTATTTGGGGAATGGGAGGTGTGGGTAAGACCACTTTGGTTCATCATGTGTACAAGGCCGTGAAGATGGACTTTGCTAAATATGCGTGGATAACAGTATCAAGTAGCTACCAAGTTGAAGACTTGTTGAGACAGATAGCAACTGAACTTGGTGTCGCAATTGGCCTCGCGGACGCAAACAGGAACCTGGTTGAGGTAATCCATAATCATCTGCAAGGTTCAGAATATCTCATAGTTCTGGATGATGTTTGGCATTTGGATGTTTGGTTTAAGGTAAGGAATGCATTTCCTACAGAAAGCACTAGTCGATTTGTCATCACCACTAGAATCCAGGAGGTGGCATTGCTGGCAACAAAAAACTGTACAATCAAATTGGAACCATTAGAAAGACATCATGCATGGCAGTTATTTTGCAATGAAGCCTTTTGGAACAATGAGAAAGAAACATGCCCAGATGAACTAGAAATTTTAGCTCAAATGTTTCTGGATAAGTGTGGTGGCTTGCCCATTGCTATTGCTTGTGTAGGCCGCTTGTTGTCATGCAGGCATCCAACATACTCTGAATGGAAAAGTTTATACAAGGAGTTAGAGTTGCAGCTCAGTAATAATGTGATCCTCGATGTTAATGCTGCTCTGAAAGTCAGCTTGGAGGACCTTCCAACTGATCTGAAGAACTGTTTTCTGTACTGCACAATATTTCCAGAGGATTATCTGTTCCAAAGAAGACAGGTAATGAGGCATTGGATAGCATCTGGATTCATTAAAGAAGCAGGGAACAAAACATTGGATGAAGTGGCAGAGGGTTACCTGAACAAACTTGTAAACAGAAGCCTACTGCAGGTGGTCTAGCGGAACCGGGCTGGCCAAGTTTATAGGTGCCGAATGCATGACATTCTCCGTGTTCTAGCCCTCGCTAAATCAGAAGAGGAATCCTTTTGTCATGTTTACAATGGCTTAACGCCTTTTTCGACCGAGAAGACGCGTCGTCTGTCAATTCAGAGTACAAACGTGGAGAAGCCAACAGTGAGGTGCTATGTCAGCTAGGATGCTTAACCAAGTTAAGAACTTTTGGTATCAGTAAAGTCAGGAGTGGTCATTGTGCAGATTTGTGTGAGGCGATCACGAAAATGGTTCATCTTGTTCATGTAGGAATCTTTGCACTTGATCAAAGGGAAGTCCTGCAGCTGGAGGCACTTCGCTTACCTCCAACTGTTTCAAAAGTTGAGATATATGCGCAGCTGGACGAAAGAACTCTACCTCAGTTCGTCTCATCCAGTTCAAAACTTATTAACCTCACTGATTTAGCTTTGTGTTGGTCCAAATTATATGAAGATTCTTTTGCGTGCCTCTTGGGTTTGCATGGCTTAGTTAAACTTGTCCTTGGTACGGCTTATGATGGAAAGGAGCTACACTTCCATGCAAAGTCACTTCCAAAACTCAAAGCACTAGGGATATGGGGTGCTCCGAACCTCAACAGAATTGCAATTGAACAAGGTGCGATGGAAAACATTGTTGACCTAATTCTCAGAGACTGTCCAGTATTGGATGATCTTCCTCATGGCATCGAGCATCTTAGAACCCTCGAGTACCTGGAGTTGCACAATATTTCTGAAGAGCTGACACGTAAGCTTCGGACAAATGAGGAATCAAAGGAACGCGATGACGATTGGATGAAAATTAACCATGTGAGACGGGTTGTGGTTACTTAGTGAGTGCAGGCTAGGGTTGCTAGTTTTTTTTTTTTGAACAAGAGAAGAATCCGGAAGAACCCACCACCGCATTAGGTCAAAGCAGTGTGACAGCGCATCTTACAGACAAGACCCTAAGAAAATAGAAAATTACACACATATCACGGATAGACTCTAACCTCGTGGAAAGCTAGGATCCAACGAGGCGGGGCAACGGGAGCGCATGCAACAGCTACACCCTCCACCACGCACCTCACCGCCACCTCGGGGAGCAGGAACTACGAAGAAGAACTGACCGTCGACATGCGCCACCGCCGCCACGAGCTTATTCAGGTACGGGCTGCCACCAAATCCGGCCCCATCTCCTTGCCTCCGCCATGGAGGAACTGGGGATGGCGATGCCGGTGACCACCAGGCGCTGCTTGCGAGCAACCATGCCTGAACACCCGACGGCATCTCGCCAGACGACGGCATCATGCTGAACAACAGCACAAAGGCCCAAACTAATATCTACATCTATTATCTACAGGAGCAGCGCCGCTGGAGGAAGTGGAGAGGAGAGCCAGGGAAATCTGGAAGCTCTCAAGTAAAGGGGGAAGAAGAGAGAGAAAGGGAAGGGGGAAATGAGAGAAAGGTTAGAATTTTCAGGGGTTGCTAGTTGGAGATGCAAATCATTTTTTGTAGTGCACCTCTCCTTTAGTGCTGTTTTAATCCTTTGTTGGGGATGCCAAAAGGACGCACCCACGGATATGAGATGTTTTGTGTTTTCCTTTTTTTTCATCAACAATATGGCTGTGAACGCTACATGTACAATATTATCTTTTTTCTTGCTTTCTCGAGTGGACTTATCTGTACGGAGCTGGTCTTCTAGCTTTATCTTGTTATTGGATGATGTCATGTCGACAGTATGGACAACTTTCATTTTACTGTCATCCCTTGTCAACCATCTAAACTTAGTTTCTGTATTCAAATTGCAGTTAACAGTTCCATTGTGCGCTTGATTGTACAGTTGTAGGTTCTTAGCTTGATTGTACAGTTGTAGGCTCTGAGCTTTCTACAACTAGATGACCCGTTGGCGCAAGAAGCCAATTCGAACCGAGAATTCTGTGGGTATTGGTAACCATTATATTGAGTACCTTAAATCGATCGAAAGAGAAACAAAGATAAGGTTATCTGCATTAATACTTATAGTAGTTCAGATGGGCGATCCGTAATACTTGTAATATAAAGTAATCCACAAGGAAAGACAAACCAACATGGCACAAAAGCATTATAAACAAGAAGTCTGCTACACAATCTACGCTTTGCCTTTGCGTCTGAAGGGAAAGGCCTATATCTTTCCTTCCTCCATGTTTGCTGCGTGGAAGAACTCCGTCCAGCTTGCTGTAATAGGGGGAGATGGATTAGGAGATTCAACACACTTTCATTAGGCTCATCGGCCGGGCATATATACAGTTTACAGAGACCACGCCCGAGAGAGATCGTGTGCCATTACTCACATCGTGCGCTACCCACGCACACACACACACACACACACACAACGGGCACATTGCTGACGTATGTACCAAGTCTTAGTCAAGTGACACAACATATAGAAAGAGAAAAGAAAAAAGAAAAAAATATATTTCTTGCACGGATCTTCACGTAATATCTCACGGACATAGCATCGACTGAGACTTCGTGGTGCAGCCAAACACATTCGGCGATGGCATTCGCGACGCCGCGGTAGTCAACTTCGGCACTGGAGTGGGAAAAAGTGGCTTGCCGCTTCGAAGACCAGGAAACCAGCGCGTCATCGAGGTAGATGCAGAAGCCGGGCGTTGAATGGCGGGTGTCTGGGCAGCCGACCAAGTCAGCGTCGGTGAAGGCGCGGAGATCCAAGCAGGACGAGGCGCGCAAGTGCAAGCTGAGTGAGGGCGTCCCGCAAACATAGCGAAGCACGCGCTTAATCAAGTTTTGATGGTAGACGCGCGGATCGTGCATATGCAAGTAGGTCTGTTGCACGGCATACGCTAACTTGGTACAGGTGATGGCGAGGTACTGCAGCGCATGTGGCGAGACCGTAGTAGGCTAAGGGATCATCAACACACGGACCGTCAGCTTGTGGGAGCTTGCCCTTGGTGTCGATCGGAGTCAGTGAAGGCTTGCAGGTGTCCATGCCCGCGCGACCGGGCACGTCCTCGGCATACTGCTGTTGACAGAGGAAGAACCCGGTGGGAGTGCGCTGCATCCAGATGCCGACGAGGAAGTGGAGCGGGCTGAGGTCCTTCATGGCGAACTCGCCAGTGAGACGGTGAATGATGCGGTGCAATAGAGATGGTGTAGACGCGGTGAGGGCGATATCGTCCACATATAAGAAGAGAAACACAATTTCTGCATCCGTGCATGTAGACGAACAGAGAAGAGTCGGAGTGCGTGCTTACGAAACCGATCGTCTTGAGGAAGCTGACAAATCATAGGGGGCCTGCTTGAGTCCGTAGAGTGATTTGACTAGGCGACAGACATGGACGGGCTTGGTACCGTCGACGAACCCGACGGGCTGGTGGCAGTATGCCTCCTCATCAAGTGTGCCGTGCAGAAATGTGTTCTTCACTGCATCTAGATGGATAATGGCCAGTTGCGTGAGGCGGCGATGGTGAGGACCGTGCGGATGGTTGCAGGCTTGACCACTGGCGAGAAAGTCTCGCCTTTGTTGACGCCGGCTGACAGAATCCACGAACCACCCATCTGGCCTTGTAGCATTCGAGAGTGCCGTCAGCGTGCAATTGATGAGGGCGGTGAACTCTTCATGCATCGCCGCCAGCCAATTCGGGTCACGCGCGACGACGTGAACAGAGCTGGGGAGCGAAAAGACTGTCGGAGTTGTCGGGGTAGCGGGGGCATCGTAGTAGCGCAGGTTAGGGTGGAAGATCCCAACTTGCGCGTGCGTGACCATCTGGCGTCGCGGAGCGGCCCCCACCGACATATTAGGACTAGCATCAGGAGCAATTGTTGGGGAATTGCCGTGGCCGTCCGATGATGAGGGAGTGGTGTAGTTTAAACCAGCCGATGATGCAGAGGAGTTGGAGCAGTCCATCGCGGATCCGATGCCTCCATTTGAACTTGGAGGAGGCGCAGTGGAGCGTGAGGGCGCGGAGCCGCTTGATGAAGATTGCGCGGTCGTCGTTGAATCACGCCGGGCGCGAAGGAGGGTGCAACAACAGAGTGCGGAGTGGGCGCCTGTTGGAGCAGCGGCCAAGCTGAAGAAAACGGCAGCGGCGGCGCGACGGCGGGGCAGTGGAGCAAGAAAACAGGAAGTCGTGCCGGGAGGTTAGGACGCGCCTTGAGACAGGATCAAAACACCGATACCCGCGGTGATCTGAGGGATAGCCAAGGAATACACACGCAATAGATCGAGGGGGTAGCACAGGCAGCCAAACACACGCGGTAGGCTGTAGTTAGGAGCTTCGCCAAGGAGGAGCTCGTACGGGGATCGGGTGCACTGGTGTGACAAGGCCGGCGATTGAGCAGGTAGGTGGCAATATTCAGGGCTTCAGCCCAGAACCGCAGCGACATGGATGCGTGGAAGAGGAGACCACGCACACTGTTGTTCAAGGTGCCAAGGACATGCTCCGCCTTGCCGTTCTATTGGTTAGTATAAGGACAAGAGAGGCAAAGAACCGAGCCATGAGCAGAGAGGGGGGAGTGCAGTGAAGCGATGTCAAACTCACGATCATTGTCTGTCTGTAGAGAAAAGACAGGATGTTGAAACCGTGTTTGAACTTAGGCATAAAAATCACGCAAAATGGGGGAGAACAATAGACTTGTTTTTGAGAGGAAACGTCCAAACGTAATGAGTTTAATCATCAAGAATTACAAGGTAGAACTCATAACCTGAAATGCTAACAGGAGAGGTCCATACATCCAAGTGCAGTAACTGAAAGGAAAAATGAGTATATCTAACTAAATTTTGGAAAGGTAGACGTGCATGTTTGCCTAATCTACATGCATGACAGTGGTGTGGTGAAGACTTGCTGAAACTATTTATGCATTATCATTGGCAGTACTATCAAGTATCAACTTTGGATTGAGAATGCGATTAAAGCAATCCGACTCGGACTGCGGTTATAGAATTAACCACACCGACTATCCATGTCCGACTCGTACATGGAAAGCCAGTCT